CCCGTACGAATGTGTTCTCCCACTGATAACACATTCCAGATGACTTCAATTCACTATATTACAAGTGAACGACATCAATTTTCAGTAATGGGCTCATAGTCCATACCCAATCACTATTGACGACTTCAGCCGTACACATTTTTCATGTGTCGACCTGCACTGAAATTATTGTTAAGTACTTCCTTTAAGACCCATTCCTGAAGGTTTTCCTTAACACACCTTATCAATGACTTTTTGTTGATCAAGCAGACAATATCATCTAGTTAGCACGTTGCATATTATGGACTTTTACATCTCATGCTAACTTATAATATTCCTACCTTGTCAGTTCCTCTATCTTGTTACCTGACCAAACACATGTTTCTATGCAAGATAGAGTCGCAAAACATCGGTTATCTAGGCGTCCCCAGAGTCATCCGACTATGCTCTTATATAAGTAGCTAAACCACCTAACTAGGTATTTTTCAATCCCATATTAGCTATATGTTCTCTGAATTTTTCCAGAGATAACCCTTTGGTCATAGGGTCAGCCACCATCTCTTCTGAGGGTATATAGTTGACTTTTATTTCACCTTTCTCCACTATGTCCTGAATATAGTGATAACTGACATCAATATGGTTTCCCTTAGAGCTATTTGCTCCACTTTTTATTAATGAGATGGCAGACTGATTGTCACAAAACATACTGACTGGTCTGACAGGCATACCTAATTGTAAACTGTCAACAAATCGTTTTATCCAGACCGCATTACTAACGGCTGTGCTGCAAGTTATATATTCAGCTTCCATAGTATATTTTGCAACACAACTCTGTTTCTTACTTAACTAAGAAACTGCTGTTCCACCAAACAAGAACACATGACCACTAGTAGATTTTCTATCATCTACATCTCCTGCAAAATCCGCATCAGTGTATCCTTTTATGTCTAAATCACACAAACCAAAACATAACTTAAAGTTTTTAGTGCCTTTTAAATACCTGAATATTCTTTTGACTGCTTGCCAATGTTCCTTACCTGGATTAGATTGAAACCGACTTACCAATCCGACTGCATGACAGATGTCAGGTCTAGTGCTTGTCATGGCATACATTAGGCTGCCTACTGCTTGAGCATACGGAACATTTTTCATTTCCTCAATGTCAGACTTAGTTTGAGGACTCATATTTTTACTAAGACTTTGTCCCTTGCAAACAGGCGTACTTAAAGAATTACAATTATCCATATTAAATCTTTTGAGCACTTTGTCTAGATATTTCTCTTGATCTAGATATAATAATTTTGAATTTCTATCTCTTGAAATTCTAATTCCTAGAACATAGGTTGCAAGACCCATGTCTTTCATTTCAAATCTAGATGCTAAGAAAATTTTGGTTTTTATAATTATATCTGGACAGTTTCCTGCTAACAATATATCATCCACGTATAAAGATAATATTGCTAACTTATCAACATTTTTCCAGATATAAACACAGTGATCTAATGGACTTACAACATAGCCCATTTCTAAAATGGCTTGGTGGAATTTCAAGTACCATTGTCTTGAAGATTGTTTAAGTCCATATAGAGATTTCTTCAACTTGTAGACTTTATCCTCGTTGCCTTGGTTAAGGAAACCATCAGGTTGCATCATATAAATTTCTTCTTTTAATTCTCCATTGAGAAAAGCAGTTTTAACATCTAATTGATGCAATTCCAAATCCATCCTGGCTACTACCGCCATTAGAATCCTTATAGAGGCAAATTTTGCAACAGGAGAATACGTATCTACGAAGTCTATGCCAGGTTGTTGAGTGAATCCCTTGGCAACTAACCTGGCCTTGTATTTCTCCAAACTTCCATCTACTTTGAATTTCTTTCTAAGAACCCATTTGCAACCAATGGCTTTTCTTCCATTCGGAAGATCAGTTAATTCCCAAACATCATTTTTCTTAATCGAGTCAAGTTCTTCATTCATTGACTCAAGCCATTGTGGAGCATCACTGCTACTCATTGCTTCATTATAACTAGTAGGATCATCTACTAAGTTATTAAGTTCTTCAACTTGAAAAACATAATGATCTTTCAATGGACGTCTTGTTCTCTTACTCCCACTTATCTCAGAATTCGAAGCAGGTAAAACAACGTCATGTAATGTGCGTTTGCTCCCACTATTAGATGGTTCGAGAAGAACATGTGGACTGTGTGACAAAGAAAGAAGTGAAGAATCCTGAGATACTTCAGAGAGCAATTCAATTTGTTCAATAGGAGTAACAAGATCAATGGATTCAATAAAAACAGCATCTCTACTTTCTATTAATCCACGTTCGGGATGGTAAAAACGATAACCACTCCCATTTTCGACATAACCAATAAACTTGCATTCCCAAGTTTTGCTTCCTAATTTATCCCTTAAAGGTTTGGGAATAAGTACATGTGCCTTACATCCCCAAACTTTGAGAGTTTGAACATTAGGTTTAGTTCCATGCCAGCATTCATAAGGAGTTAGAGGTTTGGCTTTCGTTTCAACTCTATTTAAAATATATGCAGCGGTGGACAAGGCTTCCCCCCAAAAATGAATAGGAAGATCAGCATGAGCCATCATAGACCTTGTCATTTCCATGAGAGTACGATTTCGTCTTTCTGCAACCCCATTTTGTTGTGGTGTATATGGCATTGTAAACAAATGTTTTATGCCATACTCTTTGCAGAAAGAATCCATAGCTTCATATTCGCCACCTCTATCATTATTCAAGTGTTTAATGGACCGACCAAGTTGTTTTTCTACCTCTAATTTATATTCCTTAAACTTTTCAAGTGCTTCTGATTTGTGTTTAAGAAGGTAGATGTGTCCATATCTTGAATAATCATCAGTGAAAGTAATAAAGTATTCCATACTTCGATGAGTTTTAGTTCTTAAAGGCCCACAAATGTCCGAATGAATTATTTCAAGTAATTCCGATGATTTCCAATGTTTAAAGAATGGCTTGCTAGTCATTTTACCTTTGATACATGGTTCACATATGTCAAATCATCAGAACATACTTTAGGCAATAAACCACTTTTAAACATTCGAGACATTTTATTTTTATTAATGTGACCTAACCTTAAATGCCACAAATAAGAACTATTACTAGTAGAAACATGCAAATAATCAGAAATACATACTTTATTATCAATAGGAAGAGAGTACATGTCATTCACTCTTACACCTTTCACTAATACACTCCCTTTCTTAATCAATACTGTGTTAAACCTAAAATTAACCTCAAAACCTTTTTGAGTTAACACCGGAACTGAAATTAAATTTCGCCGAATATTAGGTACATAAAGCACGTCATGAAGCACAATAGAAGTCCCTTTAATAGAGAATTGACAATTGCCGATACCCAAAGCATCACTGTAGGAGTTGTTGCCCATGTAGATTCTGTGTTCACCAACCTTCTTTTCAGTAAACTTCATGAACATGTCTTTATTTTGCACAATATGTCTAGTTGCAGCAGAATCAATCCACCATGAATTGGATGAAGGCTCAAGGACCAATGCTTCAGAAATTGTCATGGCAACAGGGTTATTATCCTTGTTCTGCTTCTTCTGAGGACAATTGGCTTTGATATGACCTTTTTGACCGCACTTATAACATGGACCAATTTGATGCTTGTGATGTTGTTGTTTGCGCCATTCTTGTGGTTTCTTCCATCCTTTCTGAAATCCCTTCTTCCATTTTTTCTTGAAAAAAGTCGTCTTTTTCTTGTTGAATGGAGTGTGGGTATTATTCTGTGGTTGTGGTGAAGATTGTGCCATCAACAAGTTAGAAGACAATCCTTCTTTACGCCTGCGCTTCATCCTTTCTTCTTCCAAAACTAAGAGTACAGGCAATGTGACCATTGAAATCTCTCGTCCGCTATGAGTTAAAGATGTGATAACATGATGTAACACCCTGTCCCACATCGGAAGTTTGCGGATTTATAAGTGGGGGAGTTTGTAACACCCTGTCCCACATTGGAAGTGGGGGAGTTTGTAACACCCTGTCCCACATCGGAAGTTTGCATGGGTGATCTTGGGCATATATAGCACCACTACCTTGCTACTAAATAACTTGGACTTAAGCTTTTGGGTATTGTTGGTCGACCCACAAGTTATTTGGACCAGCAAGTAGTGGGGCGTTACAAATGGTATCAGAGCCGACCCATGCACACAACCATGTGGGCTACTTATTCTGGGCTGGCCACGAGCTTGTCGTGGTATTCTGATTGATTATAGACCCTCGCGAGGACGAGCTTGTCGTGGTATTCTGATTGATTATAGACCCTCGCGAGGACGCGAGGATTTATAAGTGGGGGAGTTTGTAACACCCTGTTCCACATCGGAAGTTTGCGGATTTATAAGTGGGGGAGTTTGTAACACCCTGTCCCACATCGGAAGTGGGGGAGTTTGTAACACCCTGTCCCACATCGGAAGTTTGCATGGGTGATCTTGGGCATATATAGCACCACTACCTTGCTACTAAATAACTTGGACTTAAGCTTTTGGGTATTGTTGGTCGACCCACAAGTTATTTGGACCAGCAAGTAGTGGGGCGTTACAAATCCATTGTATTTTTAATAGCCATATTAAAAATAAAATGTGATACTATGAAAATTCAAATGTGAATATTACAATACTAAACTAAAAATAAAAATAAGCAAAATTAAAAACAACAAAAATAAGAAAAAGCCTTGTAGTTGTTGAATCAACTCCTGTGATGAAAATGATGTGAAGGAAGAGAACGATACTAATGCCTTGGGTAAGTAGAATGATGAAAACCCAAAGGCCTAGTAAACCCAATACTTTGCTTATACGTATTGTAATAATAATTACGAGCTCAAGGAACACAATGGTGCCTTTTAAATAATGTTCCTTTGAATGTTTTCCTTGGTAGCACCTTGGGATAGCCGCTTCTGTGAATTTTATTTTCAGAAAATTTAGTACAACGATCCACAGAAAAATTCTTAGAAGAATTATGAAAATTTTGGCTTTTGAATGACTGTAAACGGCCTTGAAATGAGCGAGAACGAGCCAAAAAACCAAGTGGACCAGGCTGCTGCCGGTCCGGGTACTGTGCTGAATCGGTTTGGACCGGCTGTGACCGAACCGGCGTGAACCGCTGGTCAACGCGCGGGTCAACGCGCGGGTCAGGCGAGGCAGACGGACGCGGGTCCGGGCGCGGGGCGCTGGACGCTGGGTCGACGCGCGGATCTGAGCGCGGACCTTGGCTAGCACGCGGGTTGGCTCGCTGGGCTGGCTGGGATGGCACACAGGGCTGATCCGTGTGCTTTGCAGGCTGAGTCTGTGGATTGGGCTGCGCCTGTCTGTGGGCTGCGCCTGAGTAAATGGGCTGATCACAATTCTTTTTAATTTTCAGGCCCAAAGGAATTGATTTCCTTGCTGTGGTCCTAATTTTTGGGCCTTTTCTTTTAATTTTTGAATTCAGCCCAACAAATTTTTGAATTTAGCCCAACAAATTGAATTGCAAAACAGAGTCTTCTTCAACTTTTTCTGGGCACTGTAGATCGTCTTCTCCGGTGGGGGTAGGAGTCCAAACACTGTAAGTTGAATTTTGTGGATCAAATTTTTTTCGTTTTTCACAACGAATTACACCGTTGTGATCAAAATTCTGTGAAGAACAAGAAGAAGCAAATTTGGAGACCCAGTTGGAACCGAAAAATATTTTGTAAAATTTCTTCCAACGGTGCAATTCGGCTTCACTTTCGGCAAGGTTCGGAACAACAGCGCCACCAACAGTTATTTTCTTCGGACAGTATTCTGGGAATACGACACGTTGGTGATAATTATATAAACAAACAGAATTCACCAATGCCGAAGATTGTTGATCAATTATTTTCTGAATTTTCGGCAAAAAGATTTCGGAAACTTGTCTTTCTTCCGGACTAAAATTCGACATCTGCGATACTGGGTAACCTGGCTCTGATACCACTGAAAGATGTTCTATCAATGGCAATCAATCGGAATACCCGTGAGGGTGTTTATCACGCAAGAATGTTGAATATCCGGAAGATAGAAAAATAGTTAACTTTGTAGTTCTTCTCTATCTATTATTCACAACCTGTTGTCACTATTTATATATCAATAGGAGACTCTTGGCAATAGGTATAATCTAAGAACAGTTGCCATGATTCACAGGAGTTGTGTTTGTTGATAATTTGAATTCAAATTATCAACCAACTAACGGATAGTTCAATACTCTTACGGGAAGATTTATAACATTGTTAGGGAGGAAAATTTCAGTGAAGTGAGTCACACCTTATTGTGGTGTGGTCATTCTTTATTCCATCAAAAATGACATTGCTAGTGCCCTTGTGTATCTCCACACTGCGTTTTCTACACCCATTGTTCACAGGAATTTAAAACCAAGTATTTTTATTGTTGACCAAGTCGGAGTTGCTAAACTGTTGGATTTCTCGTTATCCATATCGATTCCTCTGGGAGAATCTCAAGTGGAAGATATGGTGGTTGGGACGTATGGGTTCGCAGAGCCTGAGTACATTGCCACGGGCATTCTTACTGCGAAGACTGATGTTTATCGTTTCGGTGCAATTCTTCTTGAAATTTTGACAGGACAGATGTTTGTGGACGTTAACCATGGAAAAAATCATGGTCTTTTAGGTAATTTTGTGAAAGACTATGTAAACAAATTTAAGTTAAACAAAGTTGTGGATCCTAGAATTGTGGCGGAGGGAGGAGGGATTGAGCAAGAGAAGCAATTTTGAGCTTTTGCAGCAATTGCCTTGAAATGTACCCAAGAAAAGAGAGAAGATAAGCCGGAAATGATCGATGTGGCAGAAAAACTTGGGCGAATTCAGAGGTCAGTTGACACTGATCATTAGCTCTACCATAAACTCATTACAGAAGGCTGGCTTTGATTCATGTCACGCATAGGCACCAATTTGTATGTTAGTGGTGCAAGCTGTGTCACTCATCTTGCTTTGCTACCTAGTCCTCATCTTATATGTTGGTTATCAATAATTTTAGTTAAATAAATTTGATCATAATTTTACCCAGAAGTCGTAGTGTGCTGTGGACTACTCAAAATGAATCTTATCTATATATTTCAATTATGGGTATATATGTATATTGGGTATGTGGGTTATATACTAGTTTAGGCATACATACTATTCCCCAGATTTTGTATCATCATGGATGCCTGATATGATATGCAGTGAGTACTGTGTTGGTCATTGTTGAATTTTGATGACAAAGCCCAGTTGTCTTTGCATTGAGAAAGTGAAGTGCATGCCCCATTGGGCAGTGGGGCAAAAATTTGCAAATCAATGCAAAATAAGCATGGAAATTTTATAGCAATGGACGAAAATGCTCAGCTCTTTAGTTTTTTTGAAAATCCTGCAACTTCCCCATCTTTTGCTGCCCAACCCCGATAACCTCCACCTCTACACTTTTAAACCTTTCTCACCCACTCCCCCACTCACCTCTAGCTACCAGCACCACCCAAAACCTCCATACCTCTCAAATAACTCTGCACCCTTTCTATTATTTGAAATCACACTACTACTCCTCGTTAACTAACACCATTTAGTGCAATGGTGAAATACCAATAATACCAATGTTTTTTTTTTCCAGCTGATGAGAAGAATACATAGAAAAGAGAGAGACTTGATTCCACCATAACCGTCTCTGGTGACTTCCTCCCACCAAGCAAGAGCAGCAATTTCGAGCTTTTGCAGCAACTGCCTTGAGATATAGGAGTAATTATCCTATCATTGGGCTTGATAATTTCTGTAAGAGGAGAGAAGATAAGGCGGAAATGATCAATGTGGCAGAAGAACATGGGCAAATTTTTAGAGGTCTGTTGACACTCATTGGCTATATTAAAAAAATTACTATTTAAGTATCAAACTAAATATAAATGTGATTTGATGGACGGTCTATCGATATGCGAACAATTTAATTTTTATAGGTATATTTTGTTCAATATTCTTAAAAAATTAAACGATTCAGATCATCACAATACGATCTGAAGTGGGTCCCACAAGGTGCACATAAATTTTGAAAATTCAAAAATATCTTTTTGATGTTTATTTTTGTCAATTTAATTGCAATTTTTTTAAAAATAAATATCTATATATATAATAGATCGTGAAAATGAATCGAGCAGGGTGTATTATAGTGTTTTGGGAAAGATCTTATTCACAAGTTCCTTTATATCTTAAACAATTTCAATCATGATGATGATAGCCACAGAAAAATCAGACCAAAGGTGTTGAGTTGAATAAGGAAGAAGAAACCAAACAATGAAAGTTGGCTATTTTAATTTTTAAATATTTTATTAAGTTAAAATATTTGTATAAGCGGAGCAAATTAGAATTTTTTTTAATTAAATGTGATATTTGTAAGAAAAAAAGTAAAATAATTATGAAGTTGGATGTGATGTTTTATTTGGATTTATTTTTTTTTAATTTTGTAAAAACTTTGCCTTTTAGTAGAAAAAATAAAAAAAAAAACCAAACTAAAATCTTGCCAAACACCTATAAACTCAGCTATATATAGGGTATATTACTCTTTTCTTTTTGTCTCAGTTTCTGCTCATTCCTCTACCTCATTAAAAACTCAATTTTCTGTTAATTCAAACCTCTCCCATTAAAGCTCTCCTTCCATGGCTGATGATCATTCATTCACAGAGAAGATCAAAATGTCAAATTTCAACCCATCTCATTCTCACCTTATTTATTCCACTGTTTTCCAGCAAAGGCTTTCATCAGAGATCTCTCTCTCCCCCTCCTTTCCACTACCGCTCCGCTTCCACCGTTGCGCTGCCTCCGAACTCCACCGACAGCAACTCTTCATCTTTTCTCCCTCCCAGATCGATCTCAGATCTTCTCTCTCCTCCGATCTTCACCGACAGCAACTCCTTCTGTCTCTCGAACTCGGCTTGCAAGGTAAGATTTCTGCCTCTCCCCTTCTCTCTCTGTTGGGCTGTGTCTGCCTCTCCAGTCCTCCGCAACCGTCGCTCTCACTGTCGGGCTATGAACAGCTTATTTTAGGGTTTTGTTTATGGGTCTTTTTTTCTCTCTATCTAATTTGTTGGCCTAGGTGTCTCAACCCGCTACGGTGCCTCCATCCTCCACCATCGAGAGTATGATGAGTTAGCCACCATGTCTTCCCAAAGCAAATGGAGAGAATCCCCAATTTGATGAAACTGTAAATCTTTAATTTTTTTCTAACGCTGTTGGCAACAGATGACGTCTATGGTCTCCAAGTACTGATATAGTTAAAATTTGAAGTATATTTCCACTATATTTTCACTAAAATTTGAAGTATATTTCCACTATATTTAAAATTTGTAATCTTTTCAATTTATTACAGATATGCAGGGATAAGGATGCTAAACCTCAGAAATGGGAATTTGTAGCACCATTGAAAGGGTTAGTGAATAGAATCTTCACAGAATTGAAGGATTTGGTTTCTGTCTATTAAGTTTTCTTTGTATTTTGAAGCATTATATACTTAAATTTATATTTTTTGCTTAAAACTTTGTAGGATGAACAACCTGAAGTTCAAGGGCCAGGAGTTTGGGTGTCAACTGAAAGAGGTGCAACGAATAGTCCAATTGGTATGCATTTGTTCATGTATATTGTGAGACACATTTATTCATCAATCTTGCAGGCTCTGTGCTTCACTAATTGTATGTGTATGTAACTTTATTATGTTTATTTTTTACTGAGCATCCTCTGCCTGTTCGTGATAACTGAACTATTTGCTAAAAATATGAACAAAAAAGTCATTTAAAACGTTGAGCTACTTATGATGGTCTTATAATATTCTTTTGTTTTAATTTTTGTTTGTTTGTTTATTTTCTTTCTTTTTGGAAGCGTGTTTCTAGAATATAAAAATGTTTGGGGTAAATGTTAGTCATTGATACTGATGGCAATCACTCAAAGGGTAAGGGAAATGTGGATTATTTGAGCAATATGCACTTTTGGGATTGGTTTCCCCATCCTATCGTTATTCATCTCCAATCTGTACAGTCCAATATGAATAATGTAGTCATACAATTTAAAATTTTAGAAGGTAGATTTTTTTTCCCTTTTCATTTTTTTTTTATTGGCTCTGGATTTTTAAGGTAGCTTAAACATTCAATTGTCATGCAAGGTTATAACATTCAATTGCCAAATTTCGATTACTATTTTTTAAATTGTTGTGCTGTTTGGTATGGTGTGCAGAAAATTCAGGTTTGCATGTATTTAGCTTCCTGGCCAATTCAATCCTTAAAGAGGTTCTCTCAGCAATCCAAAAGGGAAAACCAGGGGTCTTTTCTCCTGGAAGACCTACAGCATTCTTGAAAAATTACAAATCAAGCCTAGATTTCTTGGGTCATTTAGAAGGTAAATTCTTTTAATTTTTTATTTGAACTCTTTTGGATTTAATTTTTCTCTTTTCAACAAAGGTGACTGCTGGATTTTTAAGGTAGTTTAAAAACAAACTTCTGGTGTTTCTGAATTTGCATTTGCGAGTCGAAAGAGGCGTCTAGGATCGGTGGTAACAGTGGTCGTTGCGTCATTGTTTACTAACCTCATTCTGTAAGTGAAATTTATTAAATTAAATTTTCATTTTTACAGATAATATGTCCTGTTCTTTTGTATTTCTTCTCTTTCATATATCTTTCCATTTTCTTATGTATATTTTTTGATCTTATGGAGTTGTTGGCTGGTGATTGTATGTCTCCATTTAGCTCAGCACATATTAATTGGTCGAATGGTCATACTAATATCCTATGTTTAGCTCACTTTTTGTTTTTATTTATTTTAAATTGTAATTGCGTTGTCAACAAAATAATAAGCATGAATCAACCTTAGTTTTTTATTTTATTTTGTTTGTACTATAATGATATTCTGAAGTATCATGTGTCATTAGGTGGTTGGTGCCGTGGTATTGTTTAGTGAGATGATAAGAAAATTATCTCCACTTATGCTGAAGCTATTCCTATTATCCAGTTAGAGTCGGTTTACTTTTTTTCAAATTATGTTTTGGATGCTCTAGGCCTTTATTTATTTTTTATTTATTTTATTTTTTCAGAAGTTGTTGAATTTGGCCAATTGCACATCATAGTGGTGACCTGTTTTATGGTTTTACATGTTTACTTATTGATTTTGACTTCTGTAGCCCGTATCCGATGTTTTACCCTTGGGGAACATGATTACTAGAGAGCTAGCTGACCCAGTAAACTGGTCGCAAGATTTTTGTATTGAGATTGTTGAAGCTAGACACCTGCCAAAATAGCTCCCTTTCCTTTGTGTGCGCGCCCGCCCGCTCGCGCTCACACTCTAGCATTACCTGTAAGCTGATTGTACTGAAAATAGGTAAATGCTGCTTTGACTGCTCAAATTTAAGTTAAGAGATAGGATTTGTTTCATTATTATGAAGTTCATGTCCATGGTACCAAGATCTTATTGCAAATAATTTTCTTATATTGTGCAATGATGACCCTTATTCCTAGCAATTTTTTAATCCTCAGTTTTCTCAGGAACCAGAGTTTAGTTAGTGTCAAGGTTTATTTATGGTTCGGTATTTTATTGTAAAAGGCTGTTTCAATTTTTGTGCTTTAGACCCCCATTCTAAGCAGTTTGCTTTCTGATTAAATGTGGTGACTATGGACTTCATTTTATCATGTTTGATTTCTACCTCCTCCTCCATCATATAACAGAGTAAAATTGATTTGTTAATTAGGTATTATCTGGATATCACCACCACCATAGCCACCGTCATCGTCTTTGCTTCGAACTCCCTCCGGTACCTCTCTCCCTCTTTCTCAAACCCTGTGTCTCTGAGGTTTAATTTGATGTTCTTTGTGGCTGTGTCTGTTCAAACCAATGAGAAAGAATTTCTTTGTTATAGTTCTCACCTACTACCACTGCTCTCTCTCTCTCTCTCTATCTCTGCTTTTTAGCAATCAAAGCTTATTTTAGGAAGTTTGTTGAAAATTAATTTTTTAATTTTTTTAAGAAAACATATATAAATAAAAAATAAAAAATTAATGTGACTGAAAATAAATTAGAAGTCAAAAAATAATTTTTATTCAAATTCCCAAAACACCCCGAATTCATCACTCATGAAACGTTTCTCACTATCTGTCATCTTTCACATGAATTATACAGCTTTGATTTTTCTGGCAGCAATTGCTGACCATCTATATATGATATCTACTTTGATAAGCACTGCACTTTGTGATAGGTTGGTATACAGGATTCACAATTTATATGACCCCACCTCATTTATGTTTCTTTAGTGTTATTGGATTTTTTTATATTTGATATCATGATATGTGATCAGATTATTTGATTTGTGTATTTTATATTTTAAAATAATAATAATTCACAAATAATATTTGTTTAAGAATTTCAATATTTATTGGATCTTAAAGTATATGTGGTGATTAAAAAAGAAGATTTAACCCATACTCAAAATAATGAACACCTATATGACAGTGGCTAACCAACCTAACTGGGGAAAAACTTAAAAAGGAAAAGAAGAAAGAAAAAAGGAAAAGGAAACATATAATAATTCTTGCAAAATAAAATTATGAAAGGGTTGGATAGTGCATGAAAAAGAAATAAGTGTAGTACCAAGCAAGAAACACATGTACATAACTTCGACAACATTTCAAGAGAATTCATAATAGTTGTTTGGGCCCTTCAATCTTAGTTTTACAACCATTCATGTATACATAGTTTTAGCCTCATTTACCTCATTGCCTTTAGAAGTCAGCAAGTTCTCCTAAACTTCAGCTCAGTATCTATTTTCAATAATTTACGAATATAACTCCACCATTATTAACACTCTCAAATCCAAGGCAGAGTTGTTCTGCAATTTTCAAATTGGACAGACCCTATGTGAATGGATCAATAATTATCAATTTATCGTCATACTTGCATTTGCAAGCAAGTAAACCTTCAACAGCTACAAATCTATCTATATATGCCTTCCAAAGGCACCTAACAGTCAGTTTTCTTTCTATTCTAAGGTGGAAATAACAGGTCCTACATTTTGGGATTGTTTGTTCCTGGTAGCCAGGGTGTTACTTCCACCTCAGAATCGATTTTGGAAGGCATATGCTTGTTCCTGTTGCTGTTAGGACCTGTTATAGGACCTGTTAGCCAGTGTTTAATCAGCAATGTTTATAGGACCTGTTATCAGCAATGTTAGGGCCTGTTAGAACCTGTTATTGGAAGGCATTGCTGATTAAACATATATTTTGGAGGTCCTAACAGGTTGCTGATAAAACATATAATCAAACATTGCTGATTAGAGCATGTTCACAATCGAACATTGTTGATTAAACATATAATTTGGAAATAACAGGACCTGTTCCGAAGGCATACATTTTGGAAGGCATATAGTCTCCTGTTATAGGACATGTTATTAGCCAGTGTGTTACTTCCACCAAGTAATACAATCGATTGAGAACACTATATAACCAGTTTTCTTTCTATCTATATATACCTTCCAAAGGCACCTCAATCGATTGTATTTTTTTCATTTTTCATTATGAATTTGGGGTTGTTTGTTCCATTTTTTAATTTTTTTTGGAATGTTCCATTGTATTTTTCAATGTGTTGGGTTAGTTTTACTTGAGAGTTAGTATAAATTGCTGATTAAACATTTTTTTTTTTTTTTGGTGGCATACATTTATGTTTGGACTTCTAAATGATAATGATAAATTTAATTTCAACACTATAAAATTGAAGTCAATTGGGGAAAAGAAGAGTTCAAATTTGAACAATTGTTGTGTTTCCATTTTAATACTCTTCATGTTGCTAGGGTTGATTTTAATTTTATCATTTTAATGTGATTGTTAAAATACATCATCGAACAACCATAATTATATAACCAAACATTTCAGGTTGAAGTACAACAGTTATGAACAATATCACTATTTTCGGTCAAGTGTTCTTTTTCTTTTTTTTCTCCCTCCATAGAAATTTAAATACCTCTCTTATAATGTAAGGCCTATTTGTTTATTTATTTTAAACTTATCATATCTAATTTTCTTCTAATAAATGCTTTTTCCCTCATACTTTATAGGTGGATGAAGACTTACATTGAACGGTAATATCAACAAAGAAATGACTTTTTTTCTTATTTATGTGTGCGCGTTATATTTTCTTAATTTTCTGTACATGGTATGTAGATGATGAAAACATATAATTAGCTCATATGATTATTTAGTATAGAGCATAAAAAAATTATGAGTTAAGCTCATCATCTAATTTTGTAGTCTGGTTTGTGAAGTTCATCACGCGTCTCACTTTAATGACGCGAGTCTTTCATTTTGTAGGATTGTTTTGGATATATTATCTATTGAAAAAATAATAATTTATATAAAAATTGTAATTATATGATTTTTATCATATTTGATTTTTTTAAAAATAAATGATAAGCATAATTTTATAATAGACTGTTCATTTCTTAACAATAAACATGAAGAAATTAATTAACTTATTTTATCAAATTCAAACCAGTGGCAAACCCTACGAATCAAATTACGCCTTTCCAGTTAATACCAGGACTGAAGTGAGCTGTTATGGGTGTAATTTTGTGTTATTACCTTGAAGGAACATCTCAAATAATTGATTATTATGAATATACAATTATGTCATATTTTATCAAATTGAAACCAGTGGTAAACCCTACAAATCAAATTACACCTTTCCAGTTAATACCATGACTGAAGTGAGTTGCTATGGGTGTAATTTTGTGTTGTTACCTTCAAGGAACATCTCAAATAATTGGTTGTTATAAACATACAATTATGTCATATGGCTTGCTTGCATAATGTTTAAAGGGCCACCACTTTCATGGGCCCAAATTGAGAGCTTAACTCAGAAACTTTTATATTTTTATCATTGAACAAAATTGTTTTCATCATCTAGAATTCTCTCTAACGAGCTGTTAACAAGTTATTTTTGCTCTCCAGTCTCAGCTCGCAAGGTAAGATACGCGCTCCTCTTCTCTTTATGTTCCCTTTCTCTCTCTGTATTTCTGCCTACCCATTTTCTGTTCATTCCCCTGCTCTCGCTGCTCAATCTTTTTGAGTTTTCCAGAATTCTTTTACGGTTGTTTGCCTACGCCATTTTTACAAAACTGACTACATAAAACAATTTTGGAAACACATCAATCTGTTACAAAAGATAGAGTTTTAGGCAGATTACTCTACTTATATTTTCCGACTTTAGTTCTATGTCTTATGATAAGGTTTGGGACTAACTATTCCTTCGATAAAAAATTGACCTTATTGACTACGATAAAATTTTTCTAATGTATGTAATTTATTTTCCTTCGATAAAAATTTGACCTAATTCTGTTGTATGTGTATTTTTTATTTTTATTTATTTATTTATTTTTGTTCTAATTTTGTTTCCACATTATGTCATTTAGTTTTCACTACTCATGAATTGCAATGTGCGACATGGAAATTGCTCTCATTGTTGTTGTTATTATTGTTTTATTTCGTTTTAGGTGTCGTCTTTCAATCGCAATCTGAATTCTGCCAAGTTTCAATCAAGCATTTTTGGTACTGTTGTTCCTGGCAAACCATCTTCCTTACAGTTGAGTAATCCATTGTTTCCTCTTTGTGCAGTTGATATTGATGTTATTTAGACTCTTCCCATTGTTATTTTGATGTCCTAAAATACTTAACAAAGCCAAGATAGTTAGGTTTGTGTGAATGCATTTAACAGAGGGATAACGTTGAAACTTCTTAATATATTGAAAGTCAAGTTACTTATGTGTTTATGAGATATTTATGTGTTTCTTTGATTTGGAAAACAAGAAGAATTAAGTGAATTGAATAGTATAGCATATTGCTCCATGCACCAGTTCATTTTTAGACTGCCATAGCCCCGTGAATAGAGCTTCAAGCCCATGACCCTTGCTTTGAAAGGCTGGGTCTCTGCCTACTGTTATTATACTCAGTGTTAGTGTTCCCCTTCAATTATTATGCATTTGTCTACACTATTAACATTTATTGTATACATTTTTTTTTTTTTTTATCATTATTGTTATTTTTTAATGGTTAATTGATGGAATGCATTCAATATATTTCAGGGAGGAATTTAAGGATGAGGAGATGGTTGATGTGAAGTCATTACACATCCGAAACTTTCTCTGAAGTTGAGTTTGTTGGTTAGTGCTTTGCTTTGCATTTAACAATTGTTAGGATACTCATATCCAGCAATTGTTTGAAGAAAAGAGATTATAACTGTTTAGGTATTTGTTAAAATAAAGGGAAATACTGGATTAATGTTTTGGTCATTTGTATGTGTCCGGTCTAACTTATCTTTAACTCCTTGAATATTGATTGGTTGGTGAGCTCCAATTACAGTGAGATTTGAAATTGCAGTTGAAGTGTTGCCTCTTTTGTTTTCAATGGCCAACTTTTGTTTTAAGCTTCTGCGATATTACATAAGGATTTTGAAGCTATCTTCTTTGATTGAAATTCATTGATTACCTAGGGACCTGTCTTAAAAAGAGATGTAATCCTAGATGTAATTTTAATATTATTTACACTGTGCCTTTAGGCACGGACATACGCTAGTATATATATATATATTAAAAAAAAAAACCTAAGATTGGCTATATTTGAACTTGTCTCTCCAATCTTACTATTGGTGTTATTATTCGGCCAATGTCGTCAAAGTCAGGAGTTCTCAGAAATGGGATATTCACATTAGAGAGAGAGAGAGAGAGAGAGCATAAACTTCAGATCTTCAATCGCCAGATTCTACACAGTGCGCAGCAAAACAATAGGTAAGACTTCATTCTTCTCTTTTTTCTTTTTCCTTTTCTGTATCAGCTTAGATCTTGTTCTTCAATCTGAAACAAAAAAAGAAAGACAAAAAAAACAGTTATTAGAATTGTTGTCTCTGAACTTTTGATTTGATTTGTGCTTTTTCTTTCTAGTTATTGTTGTTCTCTTATTCGTTCAGTGATTAATGGTAGATTTCTTAGTTATTTGTTAATTTTATTCTTCCTTATTTGGGTAAATTTCTTAGTTATTTGTAGAGGTAAGATTCTAATTTCTGATTTCTCAAAGCAAATAGCAGCCAATCTCTCTGTCTATAGTATACAGTTTTGTGAATTCTTAATTGAACTCTTGTTTTTTTTTTCATATGAATCTAAAAAAAAAAAAAAAGCTTGCTGGTCATCATAATCTTCCTAATTAAAAACTTCTTTTCAAATAGGAGCTAACTTTCATTCACTCAGTTTAATTTCCGTTTTCAAAATTTACTTTTCAGAAAATTTCACATTTTTTTGTTTTTTTTATTTTTTTTAGTGAATTTTTTAATATTTTAAATAAATTTTTTTTAATTTTTAGATATACCTAACATAAATACACTTTAAAGTACAATATTTGTGAAAAAAATTTTTAAAAAATTCACCAAATACCAAAAATATAAAAAGTACAAAAATTCAGTATATTTTTTTTATATTTTTATGTATTTATTAATTTTTTAAAATATTTTTTCACAAATATTTTACTATTTAGATGCGTCTAAGTATGATATGTCTAAGTAAGGTACATCTAAAAAAAATATAAAAAATGCTTAAAATTTTAAAAATATTCACTAAAAACAAAAAAATACGATTTTTTTTTTCAATTTTAAAATAATTAAATTCAGAAAATTGAAACTATTTTTTTTTTTTTTTAAATTCAGAAAATTGAAACTATTTTTTTTTTTTTCTCTTTCTCCTGTATCAACTTAGATATTGTTCTTCAATCTGGATAAAGAAATAAACAGTTTAAACAGTTGATTACGCGTAAGACTGTTAATTGATCTTTTTATGGGACAAGTCAAAAGTTTGCACCAACTTGTGTAGCTATTTCTTCTTTTTCTTGTGTCCCACCACAAAAGCAACGCTGTAAAACACGTCACAAACATTAATATTATCATCTAATCTAACTATTTAGAAATTATTATTTTATGATTTAAATTTATTTTAGATATAGATTTAATGTTACACATATTTAGAGATTGTTTGGGATGAACTATATAAATGTACTTTTTGACTTTTTTGGCTAAAAAGTAGAGAAAAAAAAAATGATTGTTTAGAATAACTTTTTAACTTTTTACGAAAAAATATGTATTAAAATATTTTATGAAATACCAAATTTACATTCCTACTCTTCTAACTGGAGACATGCTTTCCGTGCATGTCAATGAAGTTGTCAAACTCGAGGCAATGCACTAAGCTGCACTGGATTAAAAAGTCGAACATAGCGCAGAATAAGCTAAGCAATTTGAGCAAAAGGGGGGGCTATGTACGGATTTTTGACACGGGCAAAAATATTGGACTGCAAGAGATGTTACCTTCTACTTTGGGAGATACGGGTCGAAATGGTGAAGATTTGGTCAACGGTGGTGCAGATCTGGACGCCAGTTGGTCCTTCTCATCCTGTACTAGTGTGACGTGCTCGCGTATTGGGACGCCTTTGGTGATGTTGTAAAGGGAGGTTGTGGTAGAGCTCCAGCAGTCGGAGGTGTAAGAGTGAATGACTGTCAACGACTTCAATTCGTGGTTATTTAGCGTCTGTTTGGAGGAGGACGACTTTGGTGATGCTGTAAGGGGGAGGAACTGTTGACGGCATGACAGAGGAGTGTTTACACGTGTGTTTGGAGAAGAAGAGGAGATGTTGAGGTGAGACCCTCTGTAAACCCCAGTATCCCTTTAATAACTGTATTCTTAGATCAAGGGACAAAAGCAAGGGCAAAATTGTCCTTTTGCCCTCAAAATAAGATTCGTGGTAACTAGAAGGAGCTATCTTCTTTCAAAATTAAGTACGGAAACTTATTTATTTATTTAAATATATAAATAAATAAATTTTAAAACAGAAAATGTTGTACGACTTTTCTTTACGTGGTGGAAAAGCATTTGGAGAGTGAGAAAGTGGAAGATAGTAGGTAGGGGTGAGCAGCGGATATACCAATCCGCCAAAACTGAACGAACCGAACCGATCTGCCGCATTTTGGACGGATGCGTGATGACGAGCGGACGAATGCGGATTAATTTTCTCCAATCCGCCAATTTAGTGGACGAATGGCAGATTTGAGGTTCCTTTGGCCGCAACTGAATTGCCAAACCGCGAGCACCCCTAGTAATTTATAAGACTTTGTATTTTCAATTGAAAAAAAGTTTAAATATTCTGCTGAAAAAAATAAACGTATTATTTATCTATATTTTTTTGTTTTTAAATCTAATTCTAAAAATAATAAATAGAAAATATGATATATGCTGGTTAGTTTTTGTTTTCAAAAACATATATATATGAAACAATACAGAGACATACAATCTCTACTACTGCTTTGTTCATGGTTTTGGTGTTTGAATTGTTTTTATATTTTAAGAACTACAGATTGTAATACTTTATGTGGATGAGGCATGCTATGATTGTAATATGTGGATAAGGCATGCAGTGATTGTGATAACCTAAAGTTTTAAACTTTCTTTCTTTGGATGAGGCATGCAGTAATTGTAATAGTTTTTTAAGCACATTAACACATTAGCATACATATTCATATCACGGCCACACACACTTTCTCATGCTCATGCAATGCCCTAATTACTTTTCTAGGACATCCTATAGCTCATTTGAACCCGTGTGTGCGGTATAACTCGTGCTATGATATTGCTCTGAGACCACTCTGTCACGATCCAAACCCGCCCCTATGGGTTTAGCATCGTAACCGGCCAGTAATCCGTGATTACCAAAGGCCTGCTTAACAGCAAAGACAGTAATACAGAGTAAGGAGCTGGCAGAAGCCAAACAGTAAATATAAAGATGTCCAATGAGCTGTGAGAATCTGAATGGAAAAAGACTTTTATGAACAGAGCCACATTCATAGTCAAAACATATATACATACAACATATATGCATAACATCCAGGTTAGGGATCCAATCCCATCACCCTCCCTATACAGTCAAGTCTTATTCAGTCAATACAAAATAGAGACAAAAGGGTGATTCTGAAACACCCCAAGACAGCCTTAGCTTGAACAGGCTCGAAGCCTCGAAATGAGGCGCGATGGTTGGCTTGACAAAACAAGAGCATAACTTGACGCTCCTAGCTTCGGTCCGGTGCCTGGACACCTACATATAAATATAAACAGTGAGCTAAAGTCCAGTAAATAACAAATGCGTAAAGGGGTTAAGAATGAATGCCCTTTCAATATTTAAAACAGTCATTTGCATCGGTAAATCAGTTATTCAATCAGTGGCTCATATTTCATGCCATATCAGTCATTTAGAAACCATAGTAGTCATATGTGGTACATCCAATAGCAAAACAGTACAGTAGGTCTTAATAGACCGAACAGTCAGTTGATGGCCACCAGAATAGTAAATAGTAGTAGTTCCAAACATTGAAACTGACAGAGATCTCTGTAACAGTAACATTAAGTTGCTTTGGATGCCACGAGTACAGTTTACAAATAGGACAAACATTCATTCAGTAAGTAATGTCATTTCAGAAAGCGGTACAGTCAATCGCTCAGGAATAATTATAATTGAATGTATCTTTACAATATTGTTACTCACAGAGCACTGGGCTATAGACAGGTTAGACAGCGTCCTCGGGTGCCAACCCTACATAGTTGCAGAACGAACACACACTAAGTTACACACTTGGGATTAATAGCTTAGCCCTTAAACTTGACTTGGTGTGGTTCTATAACATTATCCTTATTAAGATGCCTTAAACTTGACCTAGGAATGCCTAGGATGAAATGAGGATGCAAAAATGTACTTTAAAATACTTTTCAAAATTTGTTGAAACAAGAGTCCACGCTCGAGCGAACATGCAGACAATGAAGCTCCGCTCGAGCGACACCCGGCCTTGCCTTAAAGGCTCATTTCCAATGGCTTTGGGGTTGGGTTTTGGTGTAACAGTTGATGCTGCGGCACTAGCTGGAGCCTTACTATTGCCTTGAGATGTGGAAGGGCAATCTTTGACCATGTGGCCTACCTTGCCACACTTGTAACAAGTACCAGAAATTTTATAGCAAACCCCTTTGTGCCTCTTTCCGCATTCGGAGTAGGGTGGTATGAAATTGTTTCCCTGACTAGAGCTGCTTGTTGACCCTGTGTTTTGCTTCTTGTTCAATGAACTGTTCTGGCCTTTCTTAAACTTAAAGCCCCGTCTTTTACCGCGCCACTCAGTCGCTGGTGTTTCAGTCTGTTTTAGTGCTTCGATATTCGACTCAGCCATTATTGCTCGGTCAAGAACATCCACATATTTAAGTAACTTTAGAACATTGATTCGATCAAGTATTTCTACATTAAGCCCGCCTTCAAAATTTCTGGCCTTTTTGTAATCGGTATCAACCATGTGTGGTGCATATCGGGCAAGTTCAGTGAACTTAGATTCATATTCTGCTACGGACATGGTACCTTGTTTCAATTGTTCAAATTCGGTCACCTTGCGGTCTCGAACACACTGGGGAAAGTATTTTTCGAAGAAAGATTCCTTAAACTGAGCCCAAGTCATGGCATTGTTGGTGTCACGGATGAGCATCCACCACCGTCCGGCCTCTTCTTGTGAAGTGAAGGTAGCCAGTAATACCTTGTGTGCTTCAGAACAAGGAAACACTTCAAACAACTTTTCAGTTTCTAAGGCCCATGCTTTGGCCTTTAGCGATTCAAGGCCTCCTTGGAATGATGGTGGTTTCATTTTGTTGAACTTCTGTGTCAAAGCAATAACATCATCATGAATATTCTGTTCGGGTTGTACTAGAGGAGGTGGGGGCTGTTGGTTCTGTTGTTGCCTTAAGGCCTCAGTCAACAGTTCAACCGTTCTTTCTAACCTTGCCATTCTTGCCTCAGATGATTCAGATTCATCAAGATTTCTTACGTTCTCCATTTCACTATAGGCAATATGGTAATAATAAGGAAGTTGCTGACTTAAACACATTAACACATTAGCACATATATTCATATCATGGCCACACACACTTTCTCATGCTCATCCAATGCCCTAATTACTTTTCTAGGACATCCTATAGCTCATTTGGACCCGTGTGTGCGGTATAACTTGTGCTACGATATTGCTCTGATACCACTCTGCCACGGTCCAAACTCGCCCTTATAGGTTTAGCATCGTAACCGGCCAGTAATCCGTGATTATCAAAGGCCTGCTTAACAGTAAAGACAGTAATACAGAGTAAGGAGCTGGCAGAAGCCAAACAGTAAATAAAAAAATGTCCAATGAGCTGTGAGAATCTGAATGGAAAAAGACTTTTATGAGCAGAGCCACATTCATAGTCAAAAAATATATACATACAACATATATGCATAACATCCAAGTTAGGGATCCAATCCCATCACCCTCCCTATACAGTCAAGTCTTATTCAGTCAATACAAAATAGAGACAAAAGGGTGATTCTGAAACACCCCAAGATAGCCTTAGCTTGAACGGACTCGAAGCCTCGAAGTGAGGCGCGATGGTTGGCTTGACAAAACAAGAGCATAACTTGACGCTCTTAGCTTCGGTCCGGTGCCTGGACACCTACATATAAATATAAACAGTGAGCTAAAGTTCAGTGAATAACAAATGCGTAAAGGGGTTAAGAATGAATGCCCTTTCAATATTTAAAACAGTCATTTGCATCGGTAAATCAGTTATTCAATCAGTGGCTCATATTTCATGCCATATCAGTCATTTAGAAACCATAGTAGTCATCTGTGGTACATCCAATAGCAAAACAGTACAGTAGGTCTTAATAGACCGAACAGTCAGTTGATGGCCACCAGAATAGTAAATAGTAGTAGTTCCAAACATTGAAACTGACAGAGATCTCTGTAACAGTAACATTAAGTTGCTTTGGATGCCACGAGTACAGTTTACAAATAGGACAAACATTCATTCAGTAAGTAATGTCATTTCAGAAAGCGGTACAGTCAATCGCTCAGGAATAATTATAATTGAATGTATCTTTACAATATTGTTACTCACAGAGCACTGGGCTATAGACAGGTTAGACAGCGTCCTCGGGTGCCAACCCTACATAGTTGCAGAACGAACACACACTAAGTTACACACTTGGGATTAATAGCTTAGCCCTTAAACTTGACTTGGTGTGGTTCTATAACATTATCCTTATTAAGATGCCTTAAACTTGACCTAGGAATGCCTAGGATGAAATGAGGATGCAAAAATGTACTTTAAAATACTTTTCAAAATTTGTTGAAACAAGAGTCCACGCTCGAGCGAACATGCAGACAATGAAGCTCCGCTCGAGCGGGTTGCAAACTCAAGAAAAGTACTGGTTGCATGATATTCACGCTCGACGGACGCTCGACCTGCGCTCGAGCGTGAATTCTCTCGCTCGAGCGGACTGCAAAACACATGAACTTCTAGGCATGTGCATTTCACGCTCGAGCGTGACTTTCTTCGCTCTAGCAGAAGTGCATGTACTCAGAGTGTACGCTCGAGTGTGAAGTCCTCCGCTCGAGCGTAGATCCAAAATCTGAAATTTCCAGATTGATCCTCAAGCACAAAACTCAACTTCTAAAGCGTCAAACTCGATTCTTTTGGGCTAATTTTCTAGAAAACACTTAGAAACCCATAGCACAACATGTTTCAAAGATCATTTTATAAAATCAAGCCCAAAGGTGTGATAATTGAACCCAATTTTGCATGAAACTTGAAAAATAATGCAAGAACATCACATGCATGTGTTCCTATGAACTCCAATGCTCTAAAACATGATCAAATGCAAGTTTAAACTTTAAAACATGGTGAATTCTTGGACTATAACTAAAATATGAACTTGCATGTAAGAATTTTCATGAAAACAATCTCAAAATTCCATGATATGGACATGCATGCATGAATGGACTCTTAATTTAACACATTAAGCTAATTCTTGACTCAAATCACTAATTTCTCATGAACAATGCATGTAACAACTCAAATTCATAATCAAGAGGGTGAATTTCCTACCTTAGGTCTTGAATTCCAAGTATACTAGCTCAAATTTGCAAAACCTCTTCAATTCTTCTATGTTCAAGCAAAATTTCTAGTTGAACTCAATTCTTTCCTCACACTCCCTCTCTCTCACGGTTTGGCA